TGTTGACTGGTAGGTTATATAGATTACAGAAATGTTATATTGTAATGTTATATATATATTATTATTATTATTTATTTTTATTTTTTTAAATATATATATATATAACATTTCTGTCCCCCTCACTTCTGAAATGATGGCTACGCCCCTGCACTGAACACATGCATGGCAGAGGATTTAGTGTCCTTGCCTTATTGAGCCTGTGGGTGGTGCTCTAATATTGATTAACAGGCTCTAAGTACACAAGACGCATAAAATTATACTTTCTTTTATTTAATAAGCAACCCCACGTATACCTTGTTAAGGATGAACAGACACACCAACTAGTTACTGACCTGATATAGACTAATGGCGCTTTTCCACTGCATGGTACTGCACGGTACGGCTCGGTACGGTTCACTTTTGGGGGGTTTTCCACTGGGTACAGTACCTGGTACCTGGTACTTTTTTTAGTACCACCTCTCTCGTTGATAGCAGAGGAGCGGCTCCAGCGAGAGCTTGATGGGGCGACGCGGAATGAAAACGTTTTTTAGGAGTCGCGGCAATAGAGGCGGCGCAACTATAACGACATGTGAATAATCCCGCCCACTCTAAAGCGGTACTAAACTGCAGTGGAAACGCAAACCGAGCCGAGCCGAGCCGAGCCGTGCCGAGCCGAGTCGTACCACGCAGTGGAAAAGCGCCATAACACACACATAGCTGAAGTGTTCAGTTTATACTGAGGAATATTTTGATGGGGCACCATACAGATGAACTTTGGCTGACTGAACTGACAACTCAACAAACACATCACAATAAATTAGAGCAAAACTGTTGAAGAAAGTGTTTGTACTCACCCTTGTGGTGATTGCAAGTTTGAGTTTTCCTGGTGCTCTTTTGTTAGGCTAAGAAATAGAATATAGAATCAGTAAATAATTAAGTAGGCTTGAAAAAGCCAACTTACTGCAATGCTATTTAAACTTCTTCTTCTTCTGAGATTAAATGCATCAACTCTAACTTCTCCTAGGGCTTTCAAGCTACAACCACCAAACTCAGCCCAGGGGGCAGTTGCATAAACTTAGCCTCTATGTTAAGACAATGTCTTAAGTATAAGTTTGACCAACTAGCTGTTAGCCAAGGGGTAATCAGTCTTATTTTGGGATTCAAGTTAAACTAATGTATGCTTTTATGTAACTGAATTTTAAAAATGCTGATCAGTTTTAAAGAAAAAAATGAATGACTAACTTGTAAGACTAGTCTAAACCTTTTATGCAACTGGCCCCAGATCTTCAGACTGTTCTGACCAAGAACGGCCCATTAACACCGTGGTGACCGACAGTGAGATGAGCGATGCGTTTTACCCAAAGTTGAACATTCTTCAACTCTCGGCGCCGAGAAAAAACGCCCGAGCGCTCAGTGTTCAGCGTGAAAAAGACATTCAGCATTCGGCATGCTCCTAGCGTTTTAAAAAACGCGATGCTCCCATTGAAAACAATTGGGAAAAAATACGCCAGCCTCGGGAAAAAATACTGAGAATGATTTTTAGAACTATATATTTATTGTTATCTTTATAGTTATCGTTCTTGGTGTAAACAGGCCTTTAGTGTGCTATAGAAACCACCCATAAAACCCTAGCAACCGCTTAACAACCACCTTAAATACCCTAACAGCTGCCTAGCAACACACCGAGCACACCTACAACCACATACCAACACCTGAGCAACCTACCTGGGTACCCTAGCAACCGCATAATAGGGCCTTTCGCACCGCTTTAGTTCCAGAACTAAATGTACAGTACTAAAGTACTGGGACGATTTTGCGCAAAATCGCACCCAGTTCCGGCGGTGCGAAAACGCCAAAAAGTGGGTAGTTCCACAATTAGTTCTGGTACTATGAAAAGGTTCCCGCGGTGCGAAATGCCCTAATAACGCCTTAGCAACCACATAGCAACACCTTAACAACCACACCGGGTACCCTAGCAACACCCTAGCAACCTACATGGGTACCCTAGCAACCGCATAACAACACCTTAGCAACCACCCTGAGTACCCTAGCAACCACCATGGGTACTTTAGCAACTGCTTAGCAACACCCTAGAATCAATCTATCTATCTATATATCTATTTTCTAATAGACTGTATAACTTTAAAAAAAATTCTTCAAGCTTTTAAAACGTTTTCAAACTTTCTGGCCTGGCTTTCTCAAGCCAACTTCAAAGTTTGTCTCAACATACTTTTTTATCTAACGGGGTTTTTTTTTTCTATCGGCTTTGTTTGAGAGTGTTTATTTGTCTGTAGAACTCTTACTTCACAGTAAAGCACCATTAGCAACTGAAAAAACATATGCAGTAACAAGACAACAAGAACTCATAAGTGTGATGGAGCTACTAACACGTTACAACTAACTTGCAATCTACTTCATTAACTGTGGGCTATGGTAAACCTCTATATGGTCCAAATCACATAAGCAAACTAAATCTGAAATCATTTATAAATATATGCAAGTACATGAGTGCATTTATATGTTTACAGAGTATATATAGTACTATATTTATTTATATAAAATGTTTCATAATTTTATAAAATAAAATATCACTAAGAAGCTTTACTGGGGTTTAAGTCTGTGGAATAGAAAAGGAATATTCTGGGTTAAATACAACTCATCATATTTCTAACTCTTTAAAATCCCCACAAGTCAATTTGTTATTAAAATGGGAAGGCATGATTCCCCTTTATTAAAGTAATGCTCACACCTTTACACAGAAGTAAAATATTTTCTATCTTATACCAGGAAAAAAAGCAGGTTATCAATTTCCACTACTAGCTATTTACTATCTCCATTCATGTTTAAGAGAACATTCAAGAGCATCCTGTGGCAAACAAAACATTCCAAAAATATTTGATGAAATGATGTGTGGCCAAGTATGGTGACCCATACTCGGAATTTGTGCTCTGCATTTAACCCATCCAAGTGCACACACACAGCAGTGAGTAGTGAACAAACACACACACACATACCGCGAACACACACCCGGAGCAGTGGGCAGCCAATGCTGTGGCGCCCGGGGAGCAGTTGGTTTTCTCAGAGAACGCTGGTTTCTCACTCCCCCCACCAACAATTCCTGCCGGACCTGAGACTCGAACCCGCAACCTTCGGGTTACAAGTCCGACTCTCTATCCATTAGGCCACGACTGCCCCCAAGTACACTATTTATGAATAGTTTGAACTCTCACTGTACAGTATGTGCATAAAAGTGTATGTGTGCTTCTGTGAATGTGTTTTGGTATGTGTATAGGTGTATGTTTTAAGTGAGTGCATTAGCAGTGACACTACTTACTTGAGGCAGAATCTTTTCTCTTTATATCTGAAACAAAGATAAAGTCATAATGCAAGAACACTGCATCACTTACAGTATTTGAATATTTTTTTCATTTGATGAACTTTTTAAGCATACATACTGCCTTTACAAAGTATTGGTGAAAATAAACTTAAAAGTTTAAGATGGCTATACGTATAACATTGACCATGAATGTAATCAAACAGCAAATCGAACATGCTAATCTGGGTACTGATCAATTTACAGTTTCTGTTATAGACAGTGTCTTTTATTCTCATGTTATGAACTGTATGAAATTAATAAAATAATGTCTGCACAATGATTGCATCATTATTCCTAGACAAGAGTATCCCAATTATTTCCAGAAACAGTAATAAGCAATTATTAACTGGTTTTGTTTTATAGATATTTACTAAAGACTGTTTTGATGGGTGTAGTTATCACACACTTTTTGAAAAAGAAAAAAAACTCACCTGACTGAGGTGGAGGTGTAGCCCAAAAAAATGAGTCTATAAGAAAACACAATAACAGAACATGAATGATAACACGTTTAGAAAAGCTCATAAGGGTTGAATCTATTCTTATGATTTCATATTCAACCCAAAGTGATAAAATATAAAAATGGTGAGATAGATATATTTGCCATGCTAGTAATGTAATAAGTTCATTTTACAATAATTACTTATTTAACATTCTCTCTTTCACTTCCAAGTAATTCCAAGAACTCTGTGAATAAGGAAACTGTTCCGGCACCTGTTGCAATAGAATCAGGGCCATACTGAAACAAGTTTTTTTTCTACACAACAAAACCATCAGTATAATGTTTCCGTATGCTGGAGATCTCGTTGATGAAGTGCATGAGTTCATGAGCTCATCCTGACATTTAACACACAGTTTAATGAGATGGAGAGAGATATATGTTTTACAGGAGAATTCAGGAGAAAACAGGACAAAATATGTAGATCACAAAAAATAAAGTAAATTTTCACACACACTTCATGGATTCAACTCAACATGAAAATTATCTCTCAACTGGGCTATTTCTTTCAGACCCAAACACCACAGACAAGAATAAAACCTACATATTTCAAAAAGAAATTACGTACCCACTCAGTAAGACGCCAAGCAACACCAGAAGAAAGGGATTTACTCGCATTGTGTTTTAACAGTTGTATCCGGGGGAGTGCATTGTGTGATGTTGTTTAGGCAACAACAGTCTAAGCTACCTGAGACTCAAACAACCAATCAAACTACCCCTGGCAGTTTAACAGCCAATGACTGATCAGAATCATTCAGTACATTATAATATCCCCCAAAGAGCCTCTACACCAGATCTAAATAACAGGTTCTGAAAACCGTCAAGGCTACAATAAAAGCTTGATAGCCCACACCTGAAATGCATACACTGTTGTACAGGGACACATTTTGTTAATTAAAATGAAAAATGGTATTAAGGCATATTAGGACCCCTTTACACTTATAGCCAAACGTGCGAACACAACACTAAACCAACAAATCAGTAGCTTCAAGAACAAAACAAAACAGAGAAAAGCAGCACATGATCAAAAGAGAAAAACATATGTGCATAAACCCATTAATATTCATAAGCCCATGTCATTTTGTGATGCCACAACCCCCAACCTTAACTGTCCTGGTCAGTTTTTACAACAAAGCGACAGAAATGACAAGAAGCATAAAAAGCCTTTAAACTGCTTTATATAATGAAATATGTCGTTTTACGAATGAAAACGTACACGCTCATCAGTAAATGATAATAACCTCACAATAAATAGCAGTGTCAAACACACACACACACACGTTTCCATAGAAATCTTGCCGTATAAACAAACAAGGGCATGCATAAACACACATCAATGGATTCAAAGCATGGATTACATTGTTAAATCATTCCTCTTGGGATCTCAAGAATAATATTATTTAGCAGACCATTGCAACATTTTTTTTCTGGGTGCAGGGCAGAAATAAGTAGTGTAGAAAACAAGCCCAATCATCGTAGTTATGTTGTTCGGTACATTATCCTGCTTATTGCAAGCATCCTAGTCAAATAAACCAATTAATAATAATGACATTAACATTTATTCATTTAGCAGACATTTTCAACTAGCACAGTATAATGGTTGCCAGGGACAATATTCAAATACAATTTAGCTGGCTATACGCAAAAATATGTGACCTCAGGATTTAGTGATTGACAAATCAGAATCAAATACTCCTGAGAGACATACAATATAGTAAAATACACAGTCCTGCTCATGGATATTTACTTGCTACTAAATTCCTCAAAAATCTGTGGGATGTTTAAACATTAAAATAACAATCTGTACATGTGAAAGAAATATTGTATAGTGAAAATACAAAAAAACAAAACAAAAAAAATGGAACCAGGCCATGTCACAACATTTCTAAAACATTATTATTATTATTTTGGTAACACTTTAGAGTAGGAAACACTTATTCACTATTAACTATGACTTTTCCCTCATTAATAGTTAGTAAGGTAGTTGTTAGGTTTAGGTATTGGGTAGGATTTGGGATGTAGAATAAGGAATTAATATGTGCTTAATTAGTACTAATAAATGGCTAATATTCTAGTAATATGCATGCTAATAAGCAACTAATTAAGAGACCCTAAAATAAAGTGTTACCATTATTTTACTTAAAGGTTTACAAACAGACTTAGTCCAAAGGCAATTCTATGCTACAAATTAAATAAATAGTGATTATTCATATAATTTCAAGGTCATAAAATTTCTGCAATGTTATACCTCAACCTCAAGCACAAAGCACAAAATGACTGAAATACAGGATGTGAAGATTTTGTCTAGGATAACAAAGCACGACTAGTTTCACTGTTGCTTCATGACATGACTGCTGTGCGTTTTTGTAAGACATCAATTCATGATAAATATAAGTTAAAAAATAGTGTAGCTTCATTTTGTTCCACTTCTGACTGTATCAGATTCTTATATATAGTACAAGATTTACCTCAATTCACACAACGTTGTGATGTGGGAGGCTGACATGTAAAATATCGAAAAATTCAAAAACATTAAGCACCATTCCGAGGCAGTCAGTGAAACAAAAATAAACTTTGCAGGAATAATCAGTAAGAAAAAGGTTATAGCATCATGCTAATGCAGTTATTGTTTTAGATAAGTCAGTAGATAATGGTTATGAGAGTCAGACATAAAATGTGACTAATTTGTCAAAATGTCACTAATCCCTGCTTGCATTGAGTGAAAAGGCTTCAGTTAATATTACTAGTCCCTGGTCCTTTATCATCTTCTTTTTTTTTTATCCTGTTATCTATTTAATGTAAGTCGCTTTGGATAAAAGCGTCTGCTAAATGACTAAATGTAATGTAATGTAATCTATTTACTATTCATTAGATTTATTATTTTGTTAGATTATGCACCAAAAGGATTGCATTTCAATTCCGTCGTACTTGTACAATGACAATAAAGACATTCAAATCAATTCTTCTGTCTTGTCATTTTAAATTGGTTTAAATTAGGGCTGCACGATAAATCGCATGCGATATTTAACGCGCATCTTGTCAGTAACTGTGTAGTTAATGCTGCTCAATGTGAAAGCACGCACGTGATGGAGATTTACCGCTGATTACAGGGCTGGCTTTCTGACAAGATGCGCGTTAAATATCGCATGCGATTTATCGTGCAGCCCTAGTTTAAATGCAAATAATTTTTCAAGGATCATTTTACCCTTTGGCCATTAGTTAAACAGTGTCTTGTATATGTCTCACATACACACAAAACACAACAACAGCACTCTTTCAAGAAACACTAGTCTACTCTGCAGCATATTATGACCAAGCACACACAAAGGGTGCTTCTCAATAATCAAACTGATGCTTCGTCGTTTCCTCTCTCTTCCATCCTCTAGCCTGTGACCCAGAAACCAATCAAAGTTAGCCATATAGAAGGACATTTCAATTCTTTAATTGCACCACGAGGAGCCAAGGAACGAGAAATGAGGATGCTTCCAGAAGAGCTATGAGTGAGGATACACAGGTGTATCCTATGCGCAGTGTTGGGAAGGTTACTTTGAAAATGTAATAGGTTACAGATTACAAATTACCCTATTTAAAATTTAATAAGTAGTGTAACTATTTCAATTACTTTATTAAAGTAATGTAACTGATTACATTTGATTACTTTTTGATTACTTTTCTAAAATTCTAACAAATGTTTTCAACTGTTAATCATTTTGAAACATTTAAAGCAGGCAGGGTTAACCTTACAGTAGGACTCAACACTGATTACTGTCAGACTTTCAAAACCCTTCATCACTTCAGATTATAATAATTTAATTTTAAAACACAGTCACCCGCACCTCTTTTTACTTTAAGATCGTTCTGAGGTTGAATGCAGATTTAAAATCATAAGATATAATTTAATAGTTATGATACCGTTTTTGAAATTAATTCTTTGCATAGCTACAACAGGAAACACTGTAACAATGCCTTGGGGGAAAAAACAGTTAATCTTAAAAAATAAATCATATATATAAACCCAAATAGGAAATAAAACAGTTATCAAATAAGCATGTGTCCTATTCTGTGTCCTACACTCCTTAAACACTGGTGTCTCATATCAAAGCAATTTGAGAAAGAAATCAATCAAATCTGTAAGTGTGTGAATATATTCTGATGTAACGCCCTTTGTAATCGTTAACGTTTTCTTAACTGCAATTTAATTACACTTTTTTTCTCAGTAACTGTAACAGATTACAGTTACATTTATTTTGTAAATAAATTGCGTAATTCCGTTATATGTGTGCCACGGCAACGTTCATATTTATAAAAACGGTCTTTGACGTGGAAAAGTACTTAAGGCTGATTTATACTTCTGCGTCGAACCTACGCCGTATCTTACGCATAGACGCACACCCATACGCCGTAGCCTGACGGGCACCTCTCCAAAAATCTAACAGCGCGTCAATTCTACGCGGACCGCAAGCGCTGTGATTGGTCTGCAAGAACCCCTCCCTCCATATGTACTTTCAGACCGATGAGCTTTGTAAAAATCGACGAGGAGAAACAATAATGTACAGTATGTGGAAAATAATGTGTTTTTTGAACCTTAAACCGCATAAACACATTTCGTTACACCAAATACACCAAATAATGTTCTGTTTAGCAGCATCATATGGCCCATTTAAAAAGAAATGAAGAGTTCAGATGCAAAAGCCTCTAAGTGCTTCTGAAATTCTTATCTAAAATGAGAATTTTTATCAGGCTCCTATATTTATGTTCTTTTTTTTTTCACTTTAATGGCATAGAAAAGGACCCATTGCCATTTAAGTAAAATTACTGAACCTAAACATAGGAGCCTGATAAAAATGCCGGGTTACACCAGCAACATGCCATGGACACTGCTGACTAGCGGTTTGCAGGTATACTGCACGTTGACGCGGACAACGACACAGAAGTATAAATGAAAACTGACACATAGCCTACGGCGTAAAGGCTACGGCGTAGGTCCGATGCAGAAGTATAAATCAGCCTTTAACGGACACGCGCACGCGGCGGCCAGTACTGCACAGGTGTTAAACCTACCGCAGTGGAGTATACTTTCCCCTTGTCCAAATACCCACACTATGAGAATTTTTATCAGGCTCCTATATTTATGTTCTTTTTTTTTTCACTTTAATGGCATAGAAAAGGACCCATTGCCATTTAAGTAAAATTACTGAACCTAAACATAGGAGCCTGATAAAAATGCAAATTTTAGAAGAAAATATCAGATGGCACTTAGAGGCTTTTGCATCTGAACTCTTCAAATATACTTATAGCCTATTTCTTTGACAAGAAAAATGTCTGACAGGCTTTTAAAGTTACCGTTTTCACATGATGTTTAGTGGTATAAGTAAAGCAGTAAGCAGTTCAAAATAAATAATTTTACCAGCTAACTTTACTATGAACCTACTACTGGACACTCTCTTACAATCAGTCACGTTTAGAGTAGGCCATTTCATGAATCTTTTTTTTTTTTATATATATAAATATTTTAACAGTGTGAAGAATTTTGTGCATTTATATTTAAGTACTGAGTAATACACATAACGATATAAAAAAATACCGCTCAAGTCACAGTTTCTTATTAATAAACAATTTACTCGTGCTGTAGTTTAATAATTCAAGATCCAAACAAAGACAACCGTAAACCAGCTACAAATTCCAAAAGAGTAAATACATACCCAATAACTGAGATGCCAGCCAGCACAAGAAGAAAAGTGTTAACATTTTGAAACTTCATTATTCCTGTAGGCTATGTTTGTCCTTGTTCACTTGAAATAGAAAAAGATCGCAAGAGAGATCTTACCGATGACAGTACTAAACTGGCTTAATCTGTCTGAACTTTGTCACGGTTTAATAAACGGTTCTAGTATAGAGTTCTTTATGAAAGACATTTTATGTAGATGTGGAAATTTAACGTCTGTTTACACAAGATATGTTCCGGTGTAGGTAAAACCTCTGAGGGGTTGGATGACGTACCTGAGTTACGAGATTTTCGGTTTCAGTGGGCGGGGCATACATGAATATTCATGAGTTTCCCGGACATGCGCGTGGACCCAGGTGGAACTGAGAATTTCAGTTCACAGAATCTCGGTGAACGGTTGTATCTCAGCAGGTTTAATGGAATATATATATATATATATATATATATATATATATAAGGTAAATATAAATACAAACACATGCATGTATATATTTAAGAAAATAATATGTTATGTTTATATATCAAATATATTTATATATAATATGAATCATATAAGTGGTCAAGTGCAAAGACCACAAGTGTGTGTATTTGGACAAGGCATTTGAAAGCTGTGCGCACCCGGATGTGCGCGAGACGGAGCAGGACACGGAAAAAAAAACCAAAAATCCCAGAACACCTGGATGATTACAGCTACACAGGTTTCCAATAGTAGCGCAAATCCAACTACCATTTCAATCATTTATTTTTATGCTCTTCTGTTACCTTTTAAGTTTTTAAACTGTCATCTTCTGGCAATGAATGAAATAACATTCACCAACATATCAGTGGCCTAATAAACATTTTGCAACCTACACTGATGCTATTCTCTGTCATCTGTTCTTTGACCATGTGTTGCACTGTACCTGGATGATACACAATGATGATCATTGATAAAAATGCATGGTCTATTTTGATGCACAACAAACACTCATGCAACATTATTTATAGGCCAAGTCATAAAGTTTCATAAACATATATAATCTTAATTAGGCTTTTTTTTCTACATAAACTGTTCCCTCCTGGTGGAATGACCTGCCCAACTCAATTCGAGCAGCTGAGTCCTTAGCCATCTTCAAGAAACAGCTAAAAACACATCTCTTCCATCTATATTTGACCCTCTAACACATGCACTCTCTATTCGTTTTCCAACTGCTTGTTTTCGTTAAAAAAAGGCCTCTAACACTAGCTTTCTCTATTCTATCTACTTGTTTTCTTTTTGTGGTGTATGTGTGTTGGTGTGAATGTTTGATATTATGTGAGACAGTGACATTTTGTTTTTAAAAATATGAATTCAATAGTGATTCACACTCAAAATCCAGGAAAATGTTACTCATGGAGGATGCGATTAATAAAGTAAAGTTTTCCTGAATTTTGAGCATGAATCACTATTGAATCCTTGTTACAAACTAAAAAGATTTATGCACCAAAACAAGACAACATAGGATACAAGAGAGTGTGATGTTAACGTCCTTGTAGAATCTGCTGTATAAAAATATGACATAATAAAGCTAAAAAAAAACAAA